GCAACAGGATCTTTTCTTGCTCTCCAGACTCAGCTATGTCCCCGAGAACCCCTTTTCAGCAAACATGAGCTTTTCATGTTTGTGCATTAAGGAGTTTTCCAGGCAGTACTTGAAAATCCCCCTCTAAGAAATGGCAAGCCTTAATCTGGGGAATGTTGGGTAGGGATCAGATAGGGACAAGGGGGTTCCTTTTCTGTGGTTAGGTGACTTCATAACACGCACACCTTATTTCTTGTTTGTTTTGTTCAGTGGTCCCAATTTACTTCTACACCCATCTGCATTGAAACAGATCTGAAACTGCCAGTTTTTGCCCCTTTGACTTATTTTTACTGTGAGGAAAGAGGGTAAAACCTAAATTAAACCTCAAACTTCATTCAGTAGTTTCTTTCTTCTTAAGATTGAGGGTCCAAAGAAGCAATATGGAAAGGAATTTTAGAACACCCAAAAGTTTGATGCTGTATACTAAAATAAATGTTATGTTGCAGGGGGAAGAGCCCAGCGCAAGCTGAATTGTGCTACTTGAACAAAGCTAAATGGCTAGAAATGTATGGTGTAGATATGCATGTAGTTAAGGTGAGATCTGTGTGATATTTTGGTTTGTGAACACGTCTCAAAGCAGATTTGCCTTGGGGAATTGCACTTAATTTATTGTCAACTAAGCTTTTAATTACTGATTTGGGTATTGAGGGGGAAAGAGACAATTAAACATTTAGGGGAATATCTTTTCCTTGCCTGGCTCAGCTTCAGTCCAGCATCTCTCCTTCCTCTTCCTAGGCTGAACTCTCCCTCTTTTCACTGCACTTCACACTTGGTCTTTTCCAGTCTCTTCAGTGATGAGTGGCTTAGTGTGTTGGGGTCAACACATAATGGTTTCTTGCTGTTGCTCTCCGCTCTTTTCCTCTGCTGCCCCTGGCTTTTTACATCTCCTCTGTTCCAGCATGGGTCACACATGGGCCACAGTCCTTTCAGGGTGTCCCTGCTCTGCTTATAGGTCACCAACAGGCCCAGTCTATTGCGACTGCCCCTGTTATTACAGAGTGCCTCCTTCTAACGGGGCTTCTCCAGTCGTGTCCCCAGCAATGTTGCCTTCCACGTGCTTCCCCCCACATCTCTTCCCGTGTCTCCTCGTATTTTTCCTTTTGTCTCCTGCCCCTCAGCTGCTTTTGTTTCTTAAATATGTCTTGGCGTGGGGAGCTATTTCCATCTATCCTAGAGCTGTGACCAGCCAAGGGCCTCTTCCCACGCAGTGTACCCCTGTTACCAAAACCCTGCCAGTTATACCTATGTATGTTCTGCTCTATACTATTTTAAAAAGGAGGAAAAAAAACTTTATAGTCTAAAATACAAGAATTTTGAGATACTGCTGTAGTAAGTTCTACAACACTAATTTTTTCTGTGCTTGTTTGTAGGGAAGAGATGGTTGTGAATATGCACTTGGACTGACACCAACAGGCATATTGATCTTTGAAGGAGCAAACAAAATAGGCTTATTCTTTTGGTAATCTACTCGTTTTATAATACCTTTTGTGAAAATGCTGAAATCTCCTCTTTAAATAATGAATTCTTGACTATGTCTTGTAACATAGATTGAATATCTAAGGTTCAAATAGTTTTGAAGGTGAATTGGCCTGTTTAGAAGTGCCAGTCTCAAATGTGGAAATATTTAGTGAAAAGCAGACACAGTGCCTGGAAATTGTATTTTTATTTTAATCCCTGAAGTATTCCAGGATTGTAAATCTCTCATATATTTTGGGGGGAGGGAGGGTGGTCCTGGATTATAAAATGCTGGAGTTCCGTTAATTTTCCATTTGTTTCCTCCTGTGTTTAGGCCTAAAATCACAAAAATGGACTTTAAGAAGAGCAAACTAACACTTGTTGTTGTAGAAGATGACGAACAGGTAACTTTCTTCCCTTGCTTGGACCTGATCCAACAAAGTGTGCAGTGTGATTGGACTGAGGAGGATGCAGAGGGGACAGCATGCTGCTGGACGAGGCTGTTTTCCTTACTGCGGGCAGTGACTAATGCCATACATGCCAACTTGCAAAGTTTTTGTTTCTGCATTTAGGGCAGAGAGCAAGAGCACACATTTGTTTTCCGGTTAGACAGTGCCAAAACTTGCAAGCATTTGTGGAAGTGCGCGGTGGAGCACCATGCCTTCTTCAGGCTGCGAGCCCCGGCAAACAGTAAATCTAGTCGGTCCGACTTCATAAGGCTAGGATCACGCTTCAGATTCAGGTACTTGGTGAAACACAAAACAGGATATTTGTGTATATACAAGCCAGCAGATATGGCAACCAGCCAAAGGCAGTGATTAACGTGTTTCATTTTTGTATTTTAAGTGGGCGGACGGAGTACCAAGCAACGCATGGGACAAGATTACGGCGAACTAGCACGTTTGAAAGAAGGCCCAGCAAGAGATACCCTTCTCGAAGGCATTCAACTTTTAAAAGTAAGTGTTTGTACATATGATCGCTGTACTGGTCATGTAGCTGTCAAGTTAACATAAATGTTGACTTGACTATAAATATCATTTTACAACCGTAAAATCTGTACCACAGTATAGGAAAAAGGTACCTGAAATATCAAAGCTGACATATTTTTTCCACCCAAGTCTGTTCAAAAAAACTGCTTTTAAACTGTGACCATACTTACTCTGTCCCATGGGTTACTGGGTGGTTTCATTATTGAGTTGTTGCTACTTTCCTGACTTTGATGGCATAATATCCCAGCTCTGAACTTAACCAGCTCTCTCTGGGTGTTAAATATGCAGAATCTGTATATTGGCAAGGGATTGATTTCCCCGTATTGTTTATCACTTTATAATTTAAGCTGAGACTTTTATTCCTTGTAGAAAAACCTAGGAATGCGCTTTCCAAGACACCCCTCTAAATTCTCGGTTGTTCGAGGCAGCAGGTGTGGCTTATATGTGAAGCAGGGTGAGCTGGCATTCCCTTAGGGTGTCCTTGCCTTCCTATGTGTCCCAAGATCCTAAGCCTCAGGTCCATGGGAAGTTCTTTGTTGGTAGTGCTGTGGGGGCACTTTTATCTTCTGCTCCTGTAGCATGCAAGGCAGAGGGAAGCCTGTGTGCTTTCTGGTGGTTGTAAGCTCCCCTCCCCTTTATACAATGTGTCAGTTTGTTGTGGAAGAGCAAACAATCTGAGAGATAATGTTATGTGGGACGCAAGAGTCAACTGTATGTAGGTGTGAGAGATTTCATATGTAGAAAAAAGACTAAATTACACTTTTTAAATGTCAGGATGTGTCAGCTTCTGTGTATACTTTGTGTCCCTGTGCTTCTGTGGAAAGACGTAAAGCTGTGAGGTGGAGGGGTAAGGGAGCGTGTGGTCTGTGCTCACTTGACCTCCAGCATAGCAGCCAGGCAGACCTTGTGTTGTACCCAGCTGGTAAAGCTCCTCCTCTCGTGACAAGCGTTGTTCACTTAGTTCCAGTGTTGGCACGCTGCATAGGATATTCTCTTATTGGGAACTATAAAAGCCATGTAAAGACTTCTTTTATGCTTGATTGTACATTAAAGATGCAGCTCCCTCTGGAAAGTTCAACAGCATGTTATTCAAATTCATGCAAAAACTCCCTTTAAATTACTCTCCCCCATGCACTCAGACCATTACGACCTTCTCCTAGTTGCAGCCCACAGCTTCAAAGTTCTGCTGCAGATCTTGGTATCTTTGCCTGTGCTTCTACAGTGTCATGCTAAGTCTGTAGCCACTTCCTGCATTCAGCACAACAGTGGATTCTGAGCTGGATCGCTGAGCAGCTTTCAGTGTTTTTCCTGAAAATGTACTTTCTGTCAGGAAGAAGAAATGATAAATGTCAGATATTCAACTGCTGCCTTCATTGCTGTTTCAAACTGCTCCAAAGCACACATTAAGATCTTGCTACTGAAGATTGCTCAGGGCTTTTCCCCATTCCCAACTGGAAGGCTTTTTTTTGCTGTCATGGTTCACTGCAGTAAGACACAGGCCACTCGCCACTTTCAAGAACAGGCCGATTTCTGAAAGATGCAAAACGGTTTTGAGGGCTAATTTCTGTGGGGTGCAGTGCTGTTGGCATGGCAGCTGCGCCAAGTTAAGGAAAGTGCTCTAGTGGGGACAATTCCCTCTGCCTAAAGCCTTTCCATCCTGCTGTCCTGGGAATGATGCTCATCTGCCAGCTGCAATGGTGGCCCACGTGGACCTTGGCTCCTGCTGACGCAGAGAGGGGGTCCCAGCTGCGCTCTTCCATGAGAATGTTAGAAAGCACAGCACTGACCTTGCAGTGCTCATGTATTTCCTCAGATGCCCCTCAATGAGGATACACTCGAGCTGTGATGTAGCATCAAAATCACAATCGCTGTAAAATGACTCTTCTGTTTCATGTATTAAGGTGGGTTTTTTTGTTTTTGTTTTTAAGCCAACAATCCTGTGAAAGCAGCACAACTGTGGTAAGTAACTGTTCTCTCTGCCTTTCAAATGCTGTTGTCAAGCAAAAACATTTCTGAAGACCCTGCTTCCGCATCAGGATTTGTCAACACCAATTCTCTGGTGTGGGATGAATTGCTTCGGGATCTGTTGTTATGCAGCACCAGATTCTCCTTGGGGGACTGCCTGTTTTCTAATTCTTTTTTTTTTTTTTTTTTTTTTGAGATCAGTCTAAAATAAATCATAGCTTATTTCTGCTCATGTTGCCATTAATGCTAATTTATCTAGATTCATAAGTGTAAAATGAAGAACAGAGTTTTGCCCCCATCTTTCTTACACTCTAACTGCTATGGTGTGAATCTAGAATAAACCATTGCTATTCTTAAATATATGAAATTGGATTTGAACTTCAGCGTAATACTTCCTTGGAGAATAGAAATGTGAGCTATAAGAAATGGTGTTATGGATGTTTTTGTAAGAATGTCCTGGTAGCATTTTGGCTGTGCAATTGAGTGTGATAGGATAATCTGAAGAAGCCTAATGCTTCTTTAGCTCTTCAGACACGTTTCCTCGCTCATGCAACTGTCCAATTTTAAACAGACTTGGCATGATTTTGCTAGGAACAGGTTTTGCTTTGGATACTTATAGATTCAGGATTTTAATTTTTCTTAGTAGTAATCTAAATGGCATTTTTATGCATGCCTTTGGTGCTTGTCAGTGTTGATGTCATAAAAGCTATTTCTTTTCTTCTCTTAGTGCTAAAAATACACCGGAAGTCCATAACTATCAGGTAAGCATAACAATTGTTTGGAAGAATATTTACTTATAGTTTTCTTACCTTAATGGTAAATGTTGCTGCTGACTATAATTAAGACTGTTATTCTGCTCCCCTTTCCTTATTCTAGGGTGAGATTTTTGTGGTGGCTCAGAAGCACCAAATTAGGGAAAACCAAAGGGGCCTTAGTCTGCTTCCCCCACACTCTGGGGTACTCTGTAAGCTGTGAGCCCTCCGTTTGCCACCTGTTTTGCATTCTACTCTCTGAAATCACAGGTTAAACCCTTTGGGATTGTGCATTTGGTGGGTCCCAGGACACTACTCTGGTGTCAACAGCAACACTTTTATCTGGAGCAGTATCTCAAACTGGAGGATCCTTGACAAACAAGCTTTGTATTCTGTTTTGTCTGTGTGATTTTTTTTTTCCCTCCCTCCTTAACACCCTCCTTTGTACGTTCCAGGGAAAACCCTACCTTGTTTTCCTATGTTCTACTAGCAATCTGTGCTATTGAGAAAGCAAGCTGTGCTTTCATCCAAGCTGTATGCGGGCACGAGAACTTAGTCTTACTTTTTTTTTTTTTTTTTTTTTTTTTTTTTTTTTTTTTTTTGCTAATAAAAGCTCCAGTAGGGATTATGTTTCAGTGTTTCCTATCAATACCTGTGGATATGAGAGAGAAATGCCATCACTGTAGACATGTGACCTTCTAAAGACTGTTATTAGAAAAATAACCTTTCTCACTCTCCACCTTTGATTAAAGCTGGCAGGTTTTGGCATGTGTTAGGTAGGCCAGACCTTCTCCCAGACAGAAAAGGGTTTGAGGGGTGGTGGGTTTATTTTTTTGATTGATTTTGTTTGTTTGTTTGTGGGTGGTTTGTGGTTTTGTTTTGCATGTATGTTTACATATGGCTGTGTTCTAACCAGCAAGTTCATCACCAAGAAATCTCCTGTAATATGTTGCATTGAACAGGAGGCAGTCTGAGACAGTGCTTCTGCATCCAGGCCTCACAGGCACCATGTTGGCCCCAGAAGGAGAGAGAGGAAAAAAAAAAAAAGTTAATAGGGAGTTTCCATATAATTTCATTAACAAGGTTTAATATTTTCACTTGTAGCCACAGTATCATCCTAATATTCATCCTGCGCAGCCACACTGGCATCCTCATACACCTGTAAATGTAAGGTAAGCAGTCTTCACCAGGCAAAAATGGTTTCACCTTTCTTTACGTATTGATGTGAAACTTTGGATGTATTGGGTGATTTTATGCATATGAAAACCAAACAAGTTAGAAATGTGTGATGTAGGGGCATCATTAAATAACATCAGTTTAGATTTTTCTTTGGAAAGTTCTAGCTGCATTGTTTTTTTTTTCAGGTTGATTTTTAATTCAAATTATTTTTTAATTAAAATGTAATTTTAGTCTCTTTCTGTAGGTAGTATGTTGGTTGGAGAGAGATTCAGTGTCTGCAATAAAATGAATTATAATTTGAAGAATACTTAATCTCTAAAATAAGAATATCTTTTAAGGGTCAATCCAAATTATCAGTGAATAAATTCCAGATTTTTAGCACTCTTTCTCACCTTCTGCGTAAGTGTGGAAAAATGGATAAATAACATGTCCATGGAATATGGACATAGTACAATTTATCTAGAAATTTGCAGATAATGTTAGTGAAGTGATTTGTAACAATGAATTCTTAGAACTCTTACAAAAATTTCTTACAAAAATATTCTGTATGTTCATGCTGTCCTGCTGTGTACTTCTTTTTAGCAAGCATTGAGAGAAATTAAGTGAATATAAATTTTGAGGAAAAAAAATCCGTCTAAGATAGAAACAATGTGGTAGAGTGCAGAGGTGCAACCTCATACCTGCCAGTGGATATGTGCCTGTGCATGCACATATGAGGATAAAAATGTTGATTTTTCCTCAGAAAGAGTAACTTTTCTAGGTTGCTCTTGCCCCCCACTTGCCCCACCAAGTAACTGCCTTGACTGAAAAGAATCAATACCCTGATCTTTATTCTCATTCTTCTTACCTTGTCATCTCTGTTTTCTTAGAACAGGCCATGTGGTAGAGTTTGTTCTTAGTGTAGGTGGGCTCTGGAGATGAGGCTGAGCCTAAGAGAGGTTTTTTCAAGGTTTTCATTCAAGTTTTTTTTGGATATTGTTTTAAAGAGTTTTATGCTTATGATACTAGTATGTAATGCTTTAAACAGCTTGCTTATGAGCATAGCAGTGTTGAAATAAGCACAATTATGTATTATAATGTGGTAGAAAACCCTTTCCCCTAAGGCTACTCTCTGCTGCTTACCTTGTTCTCTGCTCATCTCCACACTCTGAAGATCTTTAGGTCAGTGAAATATGAACAAATACAGGATTTTTTGTTTTGTTTTAATAACCAAACCAGTAAGTCTAAAAAAGTCCTTAAAAGCTCAGTCCTGCAAGGTCCATGGAAGAACTATTGAGAGTTTCTGTCCCAGTCAGGTAGAGATGCTTAAATCTATAGTTAAAGTGTCAAGTTATTGTAATGGGAGTCCAAGTAGAAGAGTTGCACATGGTTAACATCTTAGATAGTCTGGTTTGAGAATGTTTAATTCAGCAGCTATGAGCTTAAGACAGAATTACAATGCATGTAAATCTGCTGGAGTTTCAAATCTGGAAGGGGTCAAGGGAAAGGGCCATGAAAGAATGGTGTGCAATACCGTGTTATATGTATTTTTTGGTTAAATGATTTGTGAAATAAAATGTGGAATTGTGTCTCAGTCTTCATAGTAAAATATTTTCAGTGAAATTATTTGCTTGCAGTTGACACAGACATATAATCTTATGAGAAAGTTCATTACAAGTAATAGCTGTCTTTTTATAGCCTTTGAACTGTTCACTTATGTTTCCTCCAAAAGAGGTGACATATAAACTTGGCTTTATTTCCTACAGCATATAAAAATAGCACCAAAAGAAAGTGCAACTTAAGTGTGGTAAAAGGGGCACCTTAAATGTTGTGATTTCTTTCTTTATTTTTATTTTTTCCTCCAAAGCGACTTCAGGATATGTTGTAGATTCAAATTATTGTCTGTAAGTGCAAGTAAGTAATGAACAAATGAGGAAAAACTACTTTTCCCCTCAGTACTTTAGCAAGTTTCAAGGCATAGTCCTAGCAGAATACCTGCACTAACTATAGGCTGTTGAGGTTCAGCTTCACAAAATGTGTCTCAGTAATTTAAAGGCTGCTTCAGTGTAATTAACTGCACCAGTGTTGTGTGAATGGCAGTACTTACAGAAGGGCATTTTTTTTCCCTAGGATTTTTTTCTTCTTTAATGTGTTTTGGATTTTTTTAACAAATTCAACTTTTTTGCATATATTTTTTATTTTACTTGTATACTAGGTTTTTCTTTAGCCTCACGCTCCATTTTCTTCATCCCTGCGGGGTTCAGGAGCAAAAAGAGAGAGGTTTTACATGGTTGCATTATGTTTCAGAGCCTTTGGAGAAGAGAAAAAAAAAAAAAAAAAGTTATCAGGTGCTTCAGGGGATGCTGCATCAGTCAAATAGGTCCATCACCTTTTCCCTCCCTTACTGATAGCTGTCTGTCGCTGCCTACACATGCTTAGCAGTTGCTGGATGAACTCATGTTACTGTGTATTACTCACAATGTACTTCCATCTCTCACTAACCATAACTGTGCAAATGGTACAGGCCACCCTATCATGATGACAGGCCATATTGGAAACCCCTCACAAGTGGAGAGGACAGCAATTTACGGTATATCCAGGAACAGAACCAGAAGAATTTAGGAGGAGTCCAAAGTATGGTGTACCAAGATAAACTCATGACGACACTCTGAGAGTCATCACCATTTCACCTGCCATCTTAGACCATCATTACATTCCATGGGCCTTGTCTGTCTGCAGTATGTTCACAGTGTATTGTGCATAATGTGTGTGTGTCTTTATATGTACATCCATCCTTGTTTAGTGTTCATGGACATTCTTGGGAAAAGTGCTTTCCATATTTTTGTAAGAAATCTTGAAAAAACTGTGGAAACTGATCAGAATTCTCAGTGCCTCAAGATCAGAAATACTAGGGGATTTGCATTCTTCCATGTTCTTTCAATCTGATGTGACCATCTGCTTGCTGCTGAGGATGGGCCACGCATGTCTAATTATTTTTAGCTTCCTGTTTCTTTTGAGTCAAATTAATAGATGAAGTTTGAGCAACTTCATTTTTCAGTGATAGGTTAACAGGAGAGTGGGCGAGGGAAATTCGTAATTCAATCAAAGTGGTTTAGGCACCACTGGCAAAGGGCATGTGCTGAGATAGTCGTAAGGTGGGTTTCTTTTATCTTTAAATTTTGTTCTCTACAGCAAAATTAAAGATGCTTGCTTAACTTCAAAAAAAAAAAAAGTGTAGGAAAAAAACACTAAGAAAATGTACAGAGAGTATATCTATTACATTTGGACTTGCTAATTATGTTAATAGTATCCCCCAAAACCATGGCTGCTGCTATAAATTGCAAGAATGTTGAAAATGAATCCTTGCTAAAAGGGTGCTGCTGTCATCTTGTTTTTAATGTGATTATGAAAGTTGAACCATACAATTTCATAAAACTATAACTTCTGAAGACTTTTCTTCGAGAAGATTCAAAAAAGTGCTCACAATCAGTACACTGCAAGAGGATAATGATCCAGTGAAATAGCTCTATTTTTTTAAGCTAGACTTTTTCGAAGTTGAATGTATATTTTACAAACCTAGGTCTTTTAATAGGCTTGACTGATACTTTGATCACTTGCCTATCTTTTTGAATCTGGGAATCATAGTGCCATCTATTCATGCTTTTTGTTTTAATTTGGCCTTAACATCTATGGTCTCTGAAGCTGTTGAAATCAATAATCCTTTATTTAGGATATTTTAGGATGAAGTAGTTTTTAACTTGATTTTGATAAATGTACATTTATAAATGGGTATGACCCTGAATTTTTTCAGTGCAAATTTGATGGTATGTAACTTTTTGTAAAATATATTTGTTTACAAATGCTATCTTTAATATTTGTTTTAATCTTTCCTGTATGTGCTAAGTACAAATAAAAACTCTCAGCGTTCTGGTTCTGATGCCTTATTTCTTTTTGGAAGACTTGGTGGGAGGGTTGGCAGTTCTCGCACAGTGCCGCGTTTGTTCCCCGTTTCCCGTGGGATCAGTACTGCCGTGTCGGCCCCGCGCTCGCCGTGCAGGGCGCTGGGAGGGACAGTGCAGGATTTGTGCACCGAGGTGGGCAAGCGCCCGCTGCCCCCTCAGGTGCGCAGGCACCAAGGTTGACCTCGTCTTCCTGAGGAGAAGGCTCCAGCAGAGTTGCCCTGTGGGAACAAAAGCGTAATTTGGCTGCTTGGAATGCCCTCTGGAGTGCTGTTCATGGTCTTTTTCCTTTTCTGTTTGTTAGTTGAAGTGGAGTGTTGTTCACAACTTGTGCACCTATGTCCATAGTATAGTGTTGTCCTTGTATAACTTCATTTGCTTCTGTGTGGTCTGTTCTCAGTGTTTGTCTCCTCGTGTTTTATCTGTGACCTGGCTTACAGCTGAAGATGGGCTGAATGAGCGGGCTTGCTGACAGATTTCAAGAAAAGCCCGCACAAGGCCTAACAGCCTTTAAACATTAAATTGCCTCATCCAGGAGGTCTGCGCACAGGGGAAGACCATCCTGTGGAATTTGTTTTCTGCAGTTTGTGTGCCTCCCCTCGAGGGAAATGCACGTCTGGCTGCTTCTCTGCAGAAGAAGCTCGTGCACTTGCTGCTCCCCGCTTAGTTTTTCATTCCACATCATCCTTGCTGTCTACAGATACCTGTACCAGCAATGTCACCAAGCAATCAGTTAGGTAAGAACAGGACAACTTCTCTCTTTCCTTACTGTGGTGGTAGTGGTCTTTTAGTAGCTAACTGGCTTGGCGGTGGTTGGGAAAAGGGAGCACTTATTTTTTTTAAACCTGTTTCTGCTCTAACCTCAGCATTGCGCTGGCTTACGCAGCCAGTGATGGGTATGCGTAGCCTGCAGTGAACTCCGTACAAATAATGTGCTTTAAATTTAAAAACTTACTTTTTTCATAAAATTAGCACAATTGTTACTAACAAAGTATAGTGTTTAAAAATGAATACTGTGGGTCTTCTGATGCCAGAAATGCAATTTGTTTTTTGAA